CGTAGTAGTAGTAGTAGTAGTAGTAGTAGTAGTAGTAGTAGCAGTAGTGGTAGTAGTAGTAGTAGTAGTAGTAGTAGTAGTAGTAGTAGTAGTAGTACGTTGCGGCACCCCAGGCGCACCCCCGCCGTGACGTGATCGGCGGGGCGCCCCCCCCCATCACGCCCGTGACCGGCCCGAATAAACGAATGGGCTCTTACACTCCTCTCCTCTTCCACTTTCCCCTCCTTCTCCCTTCCCCTTCTCCATTCCTCCTTCTGCTCTTCCTCTCTCCCCTACCTTCTCCTCCCCCTCATCCGCCTTCTTCCTCCTTCTCCTTCATTCCCCTCCCTTCATACTCATCATCCTCCCTCCCTCATCCTTCTCGCATCCCTCATTCCTTCTCCTCTCCTCCCTCTCCTCCTCCTTAACCTCCTCCTCCTCCTTCCTTTTCCTCCTCATCCCCCACTCCATTCCACTGTTCATCCTCTCTCCTTCTTGCCTCCATTCCTCCCTTGCTCCGCATATTCCTCCCTCCCTGCTGCCACTCCCTCCCTCCCCGACAACGGCGACGGCGTCGATGACGACGGCGGCGACACCCTTCATTTCGGCGGTGCACCAGGCGCGCGAGGAGGAGGCGATCAAGAGTGGGAAGACAGCCGCAGGCTGGCGTTGGTCTCGCCAGTCTCCGTCGCTTTCAGAGCAGCGCCTGCCGTCGTCGCGCTTGTTGTCGTGAGGGGGGGATGGTGGAGGTGGAGGAGAGAGGGGGGAAGAGGTGTACGTAATGATGATGATGCTGTTGCTGATGCTGATGATGATGATGGTTCTGATGATGAGGAGGATGATGATGGCGATACTTATGCTGATGATGCTGCTAATGCTGATGCTGATGAAGCTGATTATGCTGATGACGATGATGATGATGGTCATGATGCTGATTATCATCATGCTGATGATGTTGCTGGTGATGATAATGGTGATGCTGATGCTTGTGATGATGATGCTGATTATGATACTACTTATGATGATACTGCTGCTGATGATACTGATGATGAGGATGTTGTTGATGATGATGCTGATGATGATGATGATCATGATGATGCTGATGATGCTGATGATGACGATGATGATGATGAGGATGATGATGATGATGACGATGCTGCTGCTGATGATGATGATGATGGTGATGGTGGTGATGATGATGATGATGATGATCATGATGATGGTGTTGCTGCTGCTGATGATGATGCTGATGATGATGGTGGTGGTGGTGGTGGTAGTGGTCGTGGTGGTGGTGGTGATGATGATGAGGAGGAGGAGGAGGAGGAGGAGGAGGGGCGTTGGAGGAGGAGAGGGGTTGGATGATGATGATGATGATGATGATGATGATGATGATGATGATGATGATGATGATGATGATGATGATGATGAGGCCGTCTTGATCGCTTGTTTTGCTGCGGTTGGCGCCTGTCGGAGTTTTTTTCGGCGGCTCCTTGCCCTTGCTCCCCATTCTCCTGCTTCACGTCCTCCCTCCCCATTAGTATCCCCCTTCTCCTTCTCCTTCCCCCTTTCCTCTTGTTTTTTTCATGTCCTTTCGAGAGTTACTGCTGCTGCTGCTCTTCTTCCTCATCTTCCTCCTCCTCCTCCTCCTCCACCTGCTTCTTTCAGAAGTCGCTCCTCCCTTTACTTTGGAACTCCCTCCTCCCCCTTTATCTGTTCAGAGAATGTATCCTCGTCGTTATCTTGAAATGCCTCCCTCGTCGCCGTCGTCGTCATTTTACTCCTCTCCAGCGCCACCGGCTGCCACTCCTGCCTCCAGAGAGCGCCCCAGGTGGTATAATCAAGCATGTGAGTGTGTTGACTCTGCACATCGCTCGCTTGCACGTGCCTAGATGGGCTCGGCGCCGAGTCATTGCCTAGGCGCAGAGCGGCAGGCTGCCGAGGTAGACGTGTCGACTTCGTCTCTTTCTTGCCACCCGCCTGGTCTTCCAACTCTGACAGTGGTGAGGTGCAGTGTCAGCGCAGCGCGCGCCCCCGTGGCGCTTCACAGTCTAAAGTGGAAATGGCGCTGTTTCCGCCAGGATTCTGTTACAACGTGTGCTGGATTACGTGGCTGACCTGATCGGCGGCACTCAACGCTCGCTGCGCAGCCTGGTTTCTGAGCTTCGCCGCACGTGGCGTCCGTTTGTACCTCCTAGGTAACGTGTCCTGCTTTCCCACCTTCCTCACCTTTCCTCCTCTCCAATGTCGTTCCTCCTTGCCCTCCTCTCAAAAGTCCACCCTCATCCTGCTGTCAGAAGTACCCCTCGGACGCCATTTTCCCCCTTCCTCTCGAGAGTCCCTCCTCCCCCGCACCCCCTGCCCCTCGAGAGTCACAATCGCTACCCTGCAGCCGCCGCCCCCCTCCTCGTCGGTCGCCCTCCTCCGCCTTTCTCTAGTCAAGAGGCTTACGCCATTCCGCCGACCCCCAGCGGAGTAGAGACGTCCAGGGCGTTCGGTAGACTATGCTGGAGCTGGAGTGTCTGGGTGTTTTTGGTCGCGCCCGCGAGGGCCTAGATAAGGGGGCCTCTGGTCGGCCTCTGGCGGCCTCTGTAGGGTCTTTTGGCCTTCTGGGAGCCTCCTGGGGGCCTCTTGGAAGCGCCTCCTCCTCCCCCCCCCCTGGGGCTGTCGACGACGACGGTGGCGAGGCCTCCAGGGGCCCCTGGCCCTGGGGGCTGCCGCGGAGGGGCGCGGCGCGGGGCTGTGCAGGGGGAGACCTCGGCGCCCCCTGGGGGGCTCGGGCGATGCAGGCATGCCTGGGTGGCGCTTTTGCCCGTGCTGTGGTCGACGCTGGTTTCCGTTCCGTTGTTGTTGATTTCTCTTTCTTGAAGAATAATAATTGTTGATCCCCCCCACCGGTGCACATTGATTTTTTTTGATTGAAGTGCCCCCCCCCGGGGCTCGCACCCTGTTTTTTGTCAAGGAAAGTCTTCCTGCTCAAACTGGCCCCCTGGCCCCCCAGTTACAACAACAACGGCTCCCGCCTGAGACTTCCTCACAATTTAGCCAGGACCCCCGCTCCCGCCCGAGACTTCCTCTCATTTTATACAAGAATCGCGCTCTCGCTTGGGACTTTTTTTGCGATTTTTTCAGGAATCGCTCCTCCTGCGCTCTGGAGTCGCGCTCTCACTGGAGACTTCCTTGCAATTTACTGAAGAATAGCGCCCTTGCGTTGGAATTTCTTGCAATTTACTCCAGTGCCGCGCTCCCGACACCCAGGCACCCAGGAGTCGCGCTCACGCTTAGGACTCCTTCACAGATTACCTAGGAATCGGGATCTCGCTGCCCTTCGTGGCCCCGTTGCAGCCCTTCGTGGCCCCCTCGCTTTGTTTCGTGGCCCCGTTGCAGCCCTTCGTGGCCCCCTCGCTTTGTTTCGTGGCCCCGTTGCAGCCCCTCGTGGCCTCCTCGTTGCCCTTCGTGGCCCCGTTGCAGCCCTTCGTGGCCCCCTCGCTTTGTTTCGTGGCCCCGTTGCAGCCCTTCGTGGCCCCCTCGCTGCCCTTCGTGGCCCCATCGCTGCCCTTCGTGGCCCCGTTGCAGCCTTTCGTGGCCCCCTCGCTTTGTTTCGTGGCCCCGTTGCAGCCCTTCGTGGCCCCCTCGCTTTGTTTCGTGGCCCCGTTGCAGCCCTTCGTGGCCCCCTCGCTTTGTCTCGTGGCCCCATATATGTATGCCCTTCGTGGCTCCCGCTCGTTCGCGCCTGTGGTGGCCCCATATGCATGCCCTTCGTGGCCCCGCTGTCGCCCTTCGTGGCCCCCTCGCTGCCCTTCGTGTCCCCGTTGCTGCCCTCAGTGGCCCCGTCCGTACCCTCCGCGGCCCAACATATGTATGCCCTTCGTGGCCCCCGCTCGTTCGCGCCCGTTGTGGCCCCATGTGCATGCCCTTCGTGGCCCCGCTGTCGCCGTTTGTGGCCCCCTCATTGTCCTACGTGGCCCAGGTGCTACCCTCAGTGGCCCCATCGTTGCCTTCTGTGGCCCCGCATTATCTGCCCTTCGTGGCCCACGCTCGTTCGCGCTCTTCGTGGCCCCATACGCATTCCCTTCGTGTCCCCGCTGTCGCCCTTCGTGGCCTACTTCGTGTCCTTCGTGGCTCTGCTGTCGTTCTCTCTCGCTCTCGCTTTCGCTCGTCGTCGTCGTCGCCGTCGCCGTCGTTGCCGTCGTCGTCGACGTCGTCGTCGTCGTCGTCGTCGTCGTCGTGGTCGGTCCCCTGTCCGTCCCTCTTGGGGTCGGGTCGACGGTCCGCGGCCGCCCCGCCGATCAGCGCTGCCGCTGGCCAGGCCGACGGTCCGCGGCCGCCCCGCCGCTTGCCGGGGCCCGGCCTGCAGGGAAGAAAGGTATACCCCCCAAAAGGGGTCCGATCGAAGACGAAAAGGGCGGGTATCGAGGGTTTGGGAAATTCGCGTTATTTGACACTCGAGCAGATACGGGCGAACAGTCTTAAACTGATTGTTGTTGTTGTTGTTGTTGTTGTTGAGCTCCCATGTCTGAATACTACTTATTGTTGATCCCCCCCCGTCCAGTGCACATTGTTTTTTTCGCTTGGGGTGCCCTTCTCGGGGCTCGCACCCTGTTTTTTAGCAGGGCAAGTCCTGAGGGTCAAGCTGTGTTGTTGGCCCCCGGTTTACAACAACAACGGCTTCCGCCTGATGCTTCCTCACAATTTATTTGAGAATCGCGCTCTCGCTTTGGACTTCCTTGCAATTTACAACCGGATCGCGGCTCCCGCTTGATACTTTTTCACAATTCATTGAAGCATTGCGTTCTCGCTTGGGACTTCCTCGCAACTTACCGCCGAATCGCGTTTCCCGCCTGATACTTCATCACAAGTTATTCAGATGCCGCTCCTCGACACTCAGGAATCGCGCTCCCGCTACATATTGCTTGGCGGTTCAAGCTGAATTTACGCTTCAACGACCCGCCCGCTCGACCCGCCCGTTTGGGCCTGCCCGCCCGACCAGCCCGTTAGGGACTGCAGTCGCCGCTCGCTGCCCTTCGCCCGCCTTCGATGCCCCTCGCTGCCCGTACTGGTTCCGCGGTCGCCTTCGCTCGCTGCCCTTTGTGGCCTCGTTGCTGCCCTCAGTGGCCCCGTCGCTGCCCATTGTGGTCCCGCATTCTATGCCCTTCGTGGCCCCCGCTCGCAGTCGCCCGTCGTGGCCCCATACGCATGCCCTTCGTAGCCCCGCTGTCGCGCTTCGTGGCCCTCTCGCTGCCCTTCGTGGCCCCTTTGCTGCCCTCAGTGGCCCCGCTGTCGCCATTTGTGGCCCCATATACAGGGAGTTCAAATCAACTAGTCGGGCATGCCCGGCTTCAGTCTCGCGGACCTACTCTAAAATCATAGTTTTTAAAATCCTTATTTTGTTTCATGCCCTGCCGTCATCGCGCGAGTGATAGTCGAACACCTAGTTTTTTAAATGGTTACGGCTATCTTCCCCCACCTCCTCTTCCTCCTCCTCTCCCTTCTCCTCCTTCTCCCCCTCCCCCTCCTCCTCCGCCTCCTCCTCCTCCTCCTCCTCCTCCTCCTCCTCCTCCTCCTCCCCCTGGCGGAGGTTGTAATGCGATAACTTTGGAGAAATGTTTGGGGGAAGATCTGCGGGAAATCTGAGGGAGGAAGATCTGGGAAAAGATCTGGCGCA